TGTTGAAACTGATAAGTTTCAGCAGCGGCTGAATCTGGACGCCAGTTCCGACTTACATACAGATTCAACTTAAGAACAAACCTACAGTCCCTATCTTGTACGTAACCCGGGGACTGCCTGTAAAGCTAGTCATTTCAAAATAATGTTGCTGAGCTCAAGCTTGCTACAGTTCAAAGGCAGAGGAGACCTTAGATTATTAATGGAATTTCCATTGACTATTTGATTAGTAATCTATCTAAATATAACATCCTGATCTATGTTTAAATGAGTAAGAAATGGATTCTGCCTCTGCGCATGTGTGTGTTCTTTTTGAGACTGTGAAGCACAATCAAAATAACAGAGTCATGAAGGTCAATGCTGGTTATAGGTGACTCTTCAGGGTATGCAATGTTGCAAAATACATAGTAAAATAAAACACTCCTTTTTCAGGTAACATCTTTCAGGACACAGTCATGCTAGACAGTATAGTTTCATTAGTAAGACTATGTAACCTAATGCCTTAGCGCTCTTTTTCCTTCACCAGATACATTTGTAGTAAGTAACACAGGGGTCCTGGATTACATTTATAGCGAATTGCTGCTAAAACGTTAAACAGAAAAAACATTTTACAAAATATTCCAGTGTTAACGTACATATAAATTGTTACCACTACATACAGGCAAAGGAAAAATGAACAGACACAAAATACTTTTTTTTTTTTTAAAAATAAGCGATTCTCATTATTGCAAATTACTAACATTGAAACAAGCTATATCACTTACCTGTTATGCACAGGGCAAATCCGATGAGGGCAATTACATAACCAAGTGATTCCACAACTAGCAGAAAAATGTCAAACCGTGATAACTTGCTTCCAGACACTGGGGGGATGGAAAACATATAGTCTACTGTAGTTTGTGAAAGGACAACAGAAGAAAACATGAAAGGTGTGTGATCTAAACTGGGCTAAGAACCAGAATCTTTTGAATCCTAGTCCTGGGAAGCTTGAGTGATAACTAAAGAAAGCTGGAGACAGACAGGCATTCCCCTTAAAGGACAAGGCACACAATAAGAAAAACAACAAGCATAAAAGCAAACAAAAAATCCCCCAGGGTCAGATGCAACCCAATGCTATGATCCTGAATGAGGAGCCTGAGCTACCCAAAGCATTCTATCCCTACTCCATCTCCCAAGCAGTCAATTCACACTTCTTTTCTTGAGCACCAAAGGCAGCTGATCTCAGGTTACACCATTATTCATAGGATATTACAGTGATCTCCAACCTTTTTACACCCAAGATCACTTTTTAAATCTCAGAACAGGTGAAGATCTACCGCCCTGCCCCTTCCTTGAAGCCCCGCCCTCTCTATTCTCCTCCTGTCCATCACTTGCTATCCCCAGCCCTTCCTTACACACTCTGATAAACAGTTTATTTTTAAATTATGCGATACATAACATTAAAATCAGGTGTTTATAGTTATGAAATAAATGGTCTGTTTTATTCATGCTATTTAAATCTAAAATGAAGCATTTATAATTATACATTTTGTGGGGACAGAGTTCTGCGGCGGGGGCAGGGGAGAGGGAACAGGGTGCTGGGAAGACAGAGGACAGGGTTCTGCAGCAGGGGACAGTGTCAGTGGCGACAGTTCGGGGATTGGGGCCGGGGGGGTGGGCACAGAGTTCGGAGAGTAGGGACAGGAATGGAGACAGAGTACTGTGGCTGGGGCCAGGGGAGTGGGGACAGCGTTCTGTGGCTAGGGAGTGGGGGCTGGGGTGCCAGTGGAGGCGGAGAGTTCCCTGCATCTCCCTCCTCCCAGGATTCTCCCCTCCCCCCCAGAGAAACCAGCCCATGCCTGCCCCGGGGCCGACCCCACGCAGCCCAGGGAAGTCCCGAACACACCTGCCCCGGGGCCAACCATGGCCCCCCACGCGCCGCAAAACCCCCTGCGTGCCTCCCGCGGGGCTAACTCACCCCTCCTTGAGGTAAGTAGTGGGGCTTCTCGGGGATGGGAGGGAAATGGGGGTGGGGCAGACAGGATGCCTCGCAAGTTACTGGTCGAGGCCTCGCGATCAACTAGTAGCTTGCGATCGACCGGTTGGTGACCACGGGGATATTAGGATCATCAGGACTTTAGCATATTCTCATAGTGCCTTATTTATGAATGACAAATGTGTGTGTATTTCTAATTGTAGATAGAGAAGCATTTCATGAAATAGTAAATAAATGAAATCCTCACCTATTTGAAGCAGAAAGTACTGAAGTGGCACTAAAATCACAGAAGGAAGTACAATTAAGCTAAGTCCAGCTTGATTTTTTGGCCCAAAACCACCTGTAAACAATTGTACAAATTAGTAAAAGAGAAAAATCATGGCTGACATTAAACACGTGCAAAGCCAAGTAACCTCACACTTTTAGAGATCTGGAAATCCCATGCCAGCCCTGCAACTCATTTCTTGACCACTGATCTCTTCAGGCAATAGGACAAGAGAAGGAAATCAGTTTTTTGGCCTAATTCTCCATTTCCACAGCTTGAAACTCTGCAAATTATAAGGCAGATCTAGATCAAATCCAATTGAGTAATATTTTTTAGAAAAAACCACCCAGTAACGATATAACCCATCAAACTTAGATGAAGATTTTGTGTTCTTTCCTTTCACCTCGTCAAGGTCAACAGCAGGTTTGGATTTCTGCTGGGACTGTAAATGTTTGTTCTGTATATAAGGGAATCTTTGCTCAAACTTAAGTACCAGGTATACAGGTTGGACCTCCCTGGTCTGGAACCCTCAGGACCTGACCAGTTCTGGACAAAGAAGGTTGCCAGACCAAGGACGTCTGGGGGTTGGGGGTGGGGGTGGTGCCAGCCTCCCCACTAGTCTCTTCTCCCCAGCCTCAGCTTCCCCAGCCTCCTGGATCCATGAGTTACAGCAGCCACGCTGGTCTCCCCATAATCCTGCCACCCCCCTGACCTTGCAGCAGCCCTGCAGCCCCACCGGAGCTCCTGAAAGCCCAGCTAGCTGCAAGCTCCGCTGTCCCACAAGCTCCCTCCCTACCCCACCAACTGCAGGTTACACTGCCCGACAGGCTCAACTGGCCCTGTCGTCGTGTTCTGCTCCAAGCTGCCAGTAACCTCCATCACTGGGGCTCTCTAGTCCCTCAACATCCATAGTGCTTCTGGACAAGAGACAGCTAGACCACAGAGGTTCAACCTGTAGGAATTTTATTTCATATACTGTGTTGCTTACAATAAGATTTTGTTCAATTCTTTCCTCAGTTCTGTTCATCCCCCCTTAAAAAAGTTTCCATTGCTTATCTTGTATAATTAATATCTTGTCTCACAACTTTTCCTTTTATGATAGTGAATGTGTCTGGTTGCAAGATATACTGAGGTTTCTGAGCACTGCATAAACAGATTATATTGAACTTCACTTAGATTAAATGGCGAGGAGTCCTGCGGCACCTTCTAGACTAACAGAAGTGTAGGAGCATAAGCTTTCGTGGGCAAAGACCCACTTCGTCAGACCCATGCATCTGACGAAGTGGGTCTTTGCCCACGAAAGCTTATGCTCCTACACTTCTGTTAGTCTAGAAGGTGCCGCAGGACTCCTCGCCATTTAATCTAAGTGAAGTTCAATAGACATTCTTTTATTCTGGTAAAGTCTGTGGCCCAGTCCAGTTTATGGGCTAGTCTCATAAGAGGGAGAATCTCAACTAAGCCAGTTCCAAATATATTACCACATATGGGCCAAATCCTCAGCTTCAATTTACAGGATCTGGTCCATTGCACTGGATACTTATATTAACATGGTTTGATACTACTTTCAGCAGTTGTCACATTGTAGAATCCCTTGCGAATTCAATTGTGAACATGAAATAACTTTTTGACCCTTGCCCTTCTCAAAACATTATAAAAATGGAACTCCAGGTATAAAATTTAAGAAAGTGCCTCTTATGAACTCAGAATTACCAATTAAGAAGTCAAAACAGAATATACATTTCAAAAGACATTCTTACCCCAAACAGAAATGTCACTTGTATGTTTACTATATTTGTTATTTTTTAAAAACAACATCTCAGTAAGGTCTATTTCATGTCAACAAATTTTAAGATTATTACACGTCTTTACACTTAATACCGCAGCTGCTCTACATTCAGAAGTCAACAACAATTGGAATTCTTGGTGAGCATGGAACAGGAAATAAAAATCCCTTTCATTAAGTCTTTTAATCTGTATATGAAAGGGTATGTCTACACTCCCCCGCTAGTTCGAACTAGCGGGGTAATGTATGCATACCGAACGTGCTAATGAAGCCCGGGATTTGAATTTCCCGGGCTTCATTAGCATAAAGCCGGCTCCGCCATTTTTAAAAGCCAGCTTGTTCGAACCCCGTGCCACGCGGCTACACGCGGCACGGGCTAGATAGTTCGAACTACGTAGCTGTTCCGAACTATCTGTACGCCTCGTGGAATGGACCTAGGCTTATCGGGACCAACCCAGCAGCACCCCAGCTGCTCTATTGCAGGCATCCCCGATTCAGCTGCTGCTGAAACTGACTAGCAGTGGCTGAATCAGGGACGCCTGGGGCAGAGCCGGACTATCGTAAGGGGTAGCGTATGAGGGGTCTGTGGTGGCATCCCCTCCCATCCCACTCCAGACCCCTCATAGCCCCCCCCTTCTTATAGTCCGGCATATCTGATAATCTGGCACCCCCTGGGTCCTAAAGGTGCCAGATTATCAGAAGCTTACTGTAAGTTATTAATTTTAACATTTCAAAATGTTGTTACAAGCTGTTTGGTATGTTTCAGATACTCATTTAAATAGCTGTGGTAGATAACCCTTATGATTTACATTCCTTACACAACTGGGTTTACAATTGATCATATTTAAAAAGTGGTACAAATAGCTACAGTAGGAGGAATCTTTCATTTATAATCTTTTTTTTTAAAAAAAGAGGGATCTGAATAATAGTGGATCCAGTTTATACGTAAGGCAGGGGTGGAGAGCCTTTTTTCGGTCGGGACCATATATACATGAGGAAAAACCCCTCAATGACCTGTCCCCCAAGTGAGGAGAAAAAAAAAACAAAAAGCCTTGCATAGTGAAGAACACAGAGGTTCTGGGTCTTCCCCAGAGCTAGATAAACTATTCTGGGGGCCCAGGACCAACAGATTTAGTGGGGCTCCCTAGGCTCTGGGGTAGGGGTTCAGTGTAAGGAGGGGGCTGTTGGGAATCTGGCTGGGGTGGGAGGGTACAAGATCACCATGCAATTGGGGTATGTTGGCAGCAGGGGAGGAATGCAGGTGCGGGAAATAGTGCAGAATCTGGGTAGAAGGTGGAGTGCAGACCCTGGTTAGGGGTGGGGATGCAGGGTCTGGGAGGGAGGTGGGTTGAAGGAGCAAGCTGAGAGGCAGGGGATGGAGTGCCTACCTCATGCATCGAGTAAAACTATGGATGAGTCTGTAATCAGGACCAGCTAGTTCCAAGAAAGCTCCACATATGAAAAGCCTGCCCAGTTCATCTATAAAAAATTCTCCCTTTTGTCTTCAGTGTCACTGAATAGAGGGGACAAATTAATGCTTCTCCCAGACATAGAATGGAATGCACTGATTCACTATTTTGAGCTATTTATTAAGCATTAGCCAGTTCTGATGACAATTTGTGAAGAAAATCAAGACAAAATATCACAGTCAAAATTAGTCAACACAAGACAAAAGAGAATGTAGAAGACATGCTAGTTCTACAGTCTTGGCAAACTATAGAAGGATAGCTGCTGTATTATTAACACTGCTGCAATGTGGAAAGCCAAGAGACCCTCAAGAAGGAAATGCTCAGCAACAAAGCAGGCATGTAAATGACTAGTTGAGTAGTCAACTAGTCTCTTCCCCCTTCGCCATTTCTGCTTGCTGTATCTGCTTAAAGCCCACTCCCCCCCAACATCATCTCCACAGTGGGCAGGGTAGGCAGAAGTGCAGCTGGGGACCCAGCACAAATCAGGACAGCAAAGTCCTGGTTTGTGCCAGGTCCCAGATGCTGCGCTTCCGCTTTTTAAATGTAGTAAGAGCCCCGGGCCTGCCTGTTATGTAGGAAACTGCTGACATGTTGTGAGACAGGATAAGAACCATTCTGCCGCTGAGCCGGGAAAAGAAAGGCCTGACACGCAAGATGGAGTGCCAGCAACTCCCTGACATTGATATGCAGGGAGGGTTCCTCCCACGACAATATACCTTGGGTCTGCATGTCGCTGACATGAGCACCCCACCCAATGTCGGATGCATCAGTCACCAAGCAAAGGGTTGGCAGGGCCCTGGAGAAAGACTCCAGGGCAGACCACCTCCTCCTGGGTCCACCAATCCAGGGAGTGGAGGATGTCAGGGGGAACTGTCACCACTCTGTCCCAAGAGTGGAAGGATGGATTGTGAACCCGCACCAGCCACAACTGCAGTGGGCGCATGCAAAGCCTGCTGTGCAGAATGACGCAAGTGAAGGCAGCCATAAGGCTCAGGAGGTGCAAGCAATTCCTGGCTGTGATCATTGGGAACACCTGTATGGCCATGATGGCATTTCTGATAGCCAGAAACTGGGACTTGGGCAGAGATGCCAAGGCCTATGTGGAGTCCAGGTGGGTGCCCACGAACTCTATAACCTGGGTATGGACCAGGGTAGACTTTGCCATGTTCAGAAGAAGTCCCAGTTCCCAGAAAAGGTCTTGGACCAGGAAAGGGCCAGCACCTAGTCCGAGGAAGGGCCCAGGACAAGCCAGTCATTCAGGTAGGGAAACACTTAGATCCAACATGTTCTCAGAGCAGCAGCAACTACAGCCATGCATTTTGTAAACACTCAAGAAGCTAGAAAAAAGCCAAAGGAGAGGGCCATAAACTGATAATAGTCCTGGCAAACCATAAAGTGGTGAGGGGCAATAGACATACGGAAATAGGTGTCCTTTAGATCCAAGGCATTCTCCAAGATTTAGGGAAGGAATGATTGAGGTCAAAGTCACCATCTTGAACTTGGCCTTGGCAATGAAGACATTGAGTCCCCTGAGGTCTAAGATGGGTCCCTTTGGTCTTGGGGACCAGGAAGTACCAGGAGTAGAATCCCTTGCCCGTGAACTCGTGGGCCCAGGCTTGCCACAGACACCAGTGTGGTACGCCAGTGCAGTTACTGTCTGCAGGGAGCTCAGACTCCTTGCAGACTGAAGGAGTAGGGGGGGACAGGGTGCTGGTGCATGGGGTAGCTGGTGCTTCCTGGGAGTGAGTGTTGGAGCAGACAGCCACCAGGTGTGGGGCTGGTAGCCAATCAAATAATCATGTAACCGCTAAAATTTGATGCGGTTACACGATTATTCAATTAAGTGCTACCTAAAATCCATAATTCTATCTAGAAATTTCCATACCCTCTACCTTCTCATCACAAATTATCCATCTTTCTTTTAACCATTTTTACTGATGGTGCACAGATAAACTACAGGCCTGATTTTCAGAGGTGCTGACATCATGCATTTCAGAATGAAACAAACTTTCCATAGGCTTATCGCTGGCCCCCAATATGTCAGGGAACAAATACTTATTGCATTTACCTGGAACTAAAAGAATAAAACCAATAAGAGCAAGGACTGTGATGACGACTCCTCCAATAAATAACAATCTCTTCTTCCAAAATGCAGTTTCAAATTTTGATACTAGAGGAAAACAAAAATCAGAGAGAATTTGTTTAGAAATATAGTACTTGTTCACAAGAATACACAGCTTTTAAATTATTGCCATAAAATCAGAAAAAAGATCCCTTCAAGAATAGCACCTTGATGTTGTACATCTTTCCAGCTGCAGTATTGACAGTAATAAAACCTGAGATATTACGTAGAGATTAATTTGCTAGTTGAGTAGTGGATGGAAATCCCGACAAGCACTTCTGTGTTCCATCTTTGAAATGTACAAGAGCCTCGGGGAGGGGCTCTTGTGCATTTCAAAGTTGGAATGCAGCGTAGAGCCCAGGGCCAGCGGTAAGTCACGGTGATTCTGGGCTCCTTACAGTTGCTTCTGCTTTGAAATGCAAAACAGCCACACCGCTGGAGACTCTTGTACATTTCAAAGCTAGTACCCTGGTTGGAGCCTGGGGTCAGCTGGGGAGTCTTCAGTGATCCCAGCTCCAAGCGGCTCTGCCACCTTGAAATGCCACGTGGAGCCCAGGATCAGCTGGGGACTGCCCAGCTGACCCTGGACTCTACACAGCATGCCACCTTTGAAATGTTCAGGGGTCCCCAAAGGGGGTTCTTGTGCATTTTAAACAGGAAGCACAGCATGGTGGTCAGCTGGGGAGTGCTGACCCCAGGTTCCGTGCAGCACTGCCACTTTGAAATGCTGTGCGGGGAGTCCCCAGCTAGTCTCAGTCTCCACTCCGCATTTCAAAGTGGAAGTGCTGCACGGAACCCCGGGTGGAGCCCGCGATCAGCTACGGAGTCCTTAGCTGATCCTGGGCTCCACGTGGCACTGCTGCTTTGAAATGCCGCAAGAAGCTTGATGCCAGGCTCCCCATGGCATTCAAAGTGGCAGTGCTGCATGGGCTCCATGTGGTGCTGCCGCTTTTAAGTACCCTCTATTCTCCCCCCTCCCCGACAAAGGCAGAAGGGGGGAAGATTAGTAGACTATCCTGTTGACTATCCAATTTGCTTATTGGATTGTAAATTAGTCCTTTACATCCCTAATCAGTTATCCCAGGTAAATTCCTAATCACAAAGTAATTTACATCTTGCTTACAAGACACCTTCCACTAATTTTGCTGCAAGCTGGATCAGTTCCATAAAACCTTTTTATCACTTCAATAAGATACTTAGTTTTAATTTTTTATATATATTGCATAAACTGGTTGTTCAGGTGATTAGGACGCTAGCCTCGGACATGGAAAACCTGCATTCAATTCTGTGCTCAGCCACAGACATTCTGTGTGACCTTGGCTTCATAGCTTCATACATTTCAAGTCCAGAAGGAACTACTGTAAGAATCTCATCTTACTTCCTTGTATAACAGATCTTAGAACTTACCTAACAATTTCTAGGGCAGATCTTTCAGAAAAACGTTTAATCTTGATTTTAAAATAGTCAGTAATAGAAAGCCCACCACAAACCTGGGTTAATTGTTCCAATGATTAATTATTTTCACTGTTAAAAATGTACAACTTATTTCTAGTCTCCATTTGTTTATCTTCAACAGTAGCAATTGGAACATACTATATCTTTCTCCACTAAAACTGAATAATCCATTATCAAATATTTATTCCCCCTGGAGATTCTCCGCAACTATAATCAGGTCACCCCTTAAGTTTCTTCTTCTAAAGTGCTACCCAAACTAAGGATGTTAAAGACTAGTTGACTAGTCAATTCTCCCCTCCCCTATCTTGCTGCCTCTATGAAACCCCAAGGCAGCAGCTGCACAGCTGAGCCCAGGATCAGCTGTGTGGTGGGCTGCCCCTTTAAAACACACCCCTGCGAGAATTCAAAAGGGCAGCCTGGAGTCAGCTGGGGATTCCCAACAGATCTCAGGCTCCCAGCAGCATTTCCCTAGAGGGGGGCAGGGGAGCCAGGGCTCCCCACAAACCCAGGATCGCTCAAAGGCAGCAGTTTCAAATGGGGCGCCACTATACAGCTGATCAGCTGTGCAGCCACTGACCCTTTGAAACTGCTGCCACAGCGCAATTCAAAGGGGCAGAGGAGCCCATAGCATGGATCCCGGCGTCAGCAGGGGACAGAGTCCCCCATTGACCCTAGCCTCCATGGCTTTGAAATACACAAGAGCCCCCGCTGGGGATTCTTGGGCATTTCAAAGCAGGCACCCACTTGCAGCCTGGAGTCAGTGGGACATCCCGCTGGACCCAGGCTGCACATGAAGTTCTGCGTTCCTCCTTCAAAATGTACAAGAGCCCCTACTGGAATGCAGAAGTGCCTGTCGACTAGTAAATTAACAACATTTTAGCATCCTTAATCCAAACTGGCTTCTACTTGCCATCTATTCTTTTAAAACACTAGATTCCATTTGCTGTTACGCCATTTTATTTCACTTAATCAGTTATATAAAATATTAGCACTAACAGTCAGCATTTATTAAGAATTTAAACAAAAAATGTAATACTTACCAGTAATGCCTAAGTGAATCCAATAAGATAGAATAGCCAAGACCAGGAAGAAAATTATCAGAATATTTTCTAATGATGTAAACCAGGACTCTGAATTGAGACACAAAAAGGAAGGAGGGAGAATGGAGGTTACTGTGTTTATATTGTAACTGATCCTTTTAATTTAGTCTGTGGACAACACTCTCAGCTTCAAAACTGTAATTATAATCTCTGATTTTCTGATGCAATTGGCTAAAATGATAGCCTGTTTCCTACTCATTCAAGATCCTAAATACTGATTTTTTTTCTATGTTCCTTATCTACATGTGGACTGAGGAAGGCATTCACAAGGTTTTCTCCTTGTCTCTCACATTTTACCATCATCATGGACACTGATCTCTACATTGATTTCTATTCATCAGTACATTCTGATTTCACCTGTCTCTTGTTTAACTTCCTCTCACTAATGTGTCAGGCCAGTTTGCCAGCCCTTCCTCAGTAGTTTTGGATAGGAGCAGAGCCATCTGAAAGTTACATTACTTTTGACAACAGCACTCTGTTGTTTATGGGCACATGCAAAGCAGCAGAGAACAAAAGAAGAGATTCTATCCAGGTAAAGTCATATGCCTTTACCATCTAACATACTTGCCAAGCGTTGCCTCCCAGTTACAGAACACAATTTCTAAAATATCTCTAAAAGCCATGCTATATTTATACTGTTCACACACGCCAATCTAACAGCCATAATCCCAAACCCAGTAACAAAGTGTAAAGTACAGGCAGTCCCCGACTTACGTGGATCCGACTTACGTCGGATCCCTAGATACGAACGGGGTGAGGCAACTCCCGCACATGCGCAGCAGCATTCTCGGGGCTCGCTCACCTGGGTCCTAGGATCCTCCTCCTCCTCGGGCCGGCTCCGACTGGGGTCCCGCAGAGCTGCCGGGCAGAGGAAAAGTGCCTCCCCACGCCCGCTGCCCCCCCCCTCATCCCCCTGCCAGCAACAGGCTGCCCCCCCCCCCCAGCAACAGGCTGCCCCACAGAAAAAAAAAACGCCC